AGCTTGGCTCAACATAACCGTTTACCTTACAAGTTTACAATTCATCTCAGCTCGAATCAGAAACCTCGACAAAACACAAGTAGGATCGAAGCGGCTGGCTCTACTGCTACTGCCAGGCTCGGCCTCAGTGGCCCCTGTAATTTGTCGCTCTCACCTCACAGCCCTAGTCACTGCATACAATTAGGTGAACTACTCCCGATTTCACTGTCATATCGAAACAACTCCCGGTATAGGACGAGTAGGGACGATACTCAACTATATGTAACTGCAGCCCGCTCTTGAGTTTCAGGGTGTGTGACAAAAGAATCGTAATTCGCCGCGGTGGTGGGCGTCGCGTGCGTCGTCGCGCCCGCAAATGACGATGGTTCCAGGTAGTAGATGGCGACAACAGGCAATTCAGAACCGAAAATAGTCATGAATGTCTACGATGACGGGGTCTACATGAAGTCCGGTGCTCCAATCAACAGGTTAACACGAGTTAAGAAAACGCCGCGCCCACCGCTGTGCGCGGTACAGCGGCGAAATACGATTCTTTGACCTGTTTCCCGGAGTTTCAGAGGCTGCCCCTTGAATATATTCTTCTCCCTAGCGTTAGTCCCGCGCCTGTCGCAGGATCCTGCTGTTCTTGTTAGACGTCGCCACTTGTTCCCGATCCAATGTATTTTCTGCCTGGCATTTCACTCAAGAGGGGCATTCCTGATGACGTCCAACCACCTCTTCTTTTAGCCCCTCGCTTGCCTTCTACTTCGGAGTCCAGCGTTCTCTTTATGCACTATGAATATAGTAAGAAGTCTATCGTGCCACATTAGCGGACTTTGTTGAGTAGGAACGCTACCTTCTTGAAACTGAGCCTCCCATAACGCCAGATCGGAACCCATACTTTCCTTCCCGCTTGAGACGTCGATTCTCCCAGAACGCCGAGTCGCAGAGTATGAACGCGGCCTACTATGGAGATGACTGCCATGTGACAAAAGCTCATTAGTGCACCTCATTGGAGATTGCAAAGGCGGTTACGTTAATTTTTGAAAAATGACATGATTTTGAGGGCCGACGAGTCGTCTGCCCCTTCTATTCATGTCACCACACAAATGTAATGTAACAAACTAATTCATTTCAGAGTTAACAGGGGAAAAACACCAACTACATGTTCAGTTAGTTACCAGCCGTGAATAACATTATAATACATGACCAAGAAAAGCGCCGAGTTCATGTCTATGGGTGTTTCGTGAAAGAGTCTAGAACGACAATACTTAACCTAGCAAGAGACAGGACACACAAAATTTTGAGTACCGTACAAGTAAACCATACTACATCATAGACCACGTGGGTAATGGAGTGGGAACATATTGGACTAAAATGAAATCGGGACAAATGGCTTGCAAAACCCACTAACGACCAAGACTAAAAAATGAAATTGTCATTTTGGGGTTCATTCATGGTAGAATAATATCACCAACACTAATGGAACAGAGCACATGATAGGAAAAGAGGCGGAGTTACACATTCTGAGCTGCTAATGAAATATCAAAGCAACTGGAGGGAAAAGCAAATATGGGGAATCAAAGTAATGAAAAGGGAAATGTATACGGGTTCCGTTTCTAATAATCATCTCCTCTTGACAGAACTTCTTTGCATGTCGGACGCAACACCAACGTATGCTCCCACTGAGCCGTATAGCATCCTTTCACATCACACAACGGTGGGTATGGGTCAACAATGCCCTGAAATAGTCTTAAGATTAGAAATTGGAGATACACACCACAACTCAGGATGCGGTTCCAATCTAATATTCTTATTTTTCATGGTTTATATGGTCCACGATTTCTACCTCAGTGTCCTCTCATTTATTCAGGAGTTATTGAAAAAGGGTGTCTGATACGTACCCACAGCGGGGCACAACATGGGGACAAGGAAAATTTGTCGCTCCAGGCATGCTCCCACCTGCCTCAAACAACCACCTTTCCACTGAAGCCGCTCGACCCCTTCCACTGAAGCTCCTATTGCAGCGGCCTTTTTGACCTAAGATCCTGAGCCAGTCGTAAGCCCTCACATGAACATGCTGCTCCTTCCTGCAAATTAACTTCCAACTGTGTGGACCCCTCCAGTCCAACCAAACGTGGCTTTTTGTCGAGGATTTTATGCCTCTCATTCTGTGCACTTCACATGATGAGGTGAAGGAAGCAGAATCACTCTCTTCAGCCAGTTCGGATGAATACTGCAATTAGTCCGAATGGGAAGATTCAGTCCACTTAGTACTCTTAAAGGGGCAGCCAAACTCAGGGTGATGCCCCTTTGCTGGGTGTGCGTGACTAGTTTTAGTTTACTCTCGTCCCCCCCCCCTTTGTCGCTTGATACCACTTATTCTCCTTTGACGATCTCGTGGCAGCTAGGAGATCCGTCAAAGAGAATAAGTGGTATCAAGCGACAAGGGGGGGGGGAAACGAGAGTAAACTAAAAACTTAGTTAAAGAATTCGAAAAAAAATCGCACTGAGGCGACAAACTTTAGACTTGGGTAAAGTCGGGAAGTTCTAACGATGAGTTTCTTAAGGTCCCCTCGATTATTGCCTATTGCTATTCTGGAAGAAGGCAATGTGGAAGCAGGCAATGCGGATGGTACAGAGCCAGGAACCTCACCACGGGACCCTGTAGACGACAGTGCTCAAGCGGGAAGCACTGCGGGTAGTCTCAGTGACATTCTAGGCAGTCCTCATAAAAGGGAACGGGTCGTGCCATGCGAACTGCTCCATACTGAAGCACAAAATGTACGTTCGGCGACATATAGTCCCTCCTATACCCCCCCCCCGGAGAAGCATTGTTATCAAAAATACTGTCGCACTTCCTAGTTGTTCACTTTACCAATTCATTCACAGCCGTACCTTTACATCTATACTCTACATCCCAAGGATAGGAGGGACACAGCTAAGTACCTCATTTGAACTGTGGAGGCGATTGCGCTGGTGGAATATGGGCCAGTTGTAATGCCTTGGAGATCCTCCAAAAAGGATGCTGGTTGTCCCAAACCGAAATATTCCACGAAAAGCGCATCCTACACCATGTTCCTGTGGATTACGAACCCACGCCCCTCTTATCTCCGGGATATGGAGTGCATATCGTAGAGCACCACCAAAGTGGTCATAAATCCAACAAATAAAAACTTACCTTATCGCACAAGTCCTTCAACGCCATGAGGTATTTGTTCTCGCCCAGTCTGTCAACCCACCGCCGACAGAACGCCAAAGTTCCAAAGTTACGATCAATTGTGTTGAGAAGAGCTTTTGAACGAGCTAGTCTATAAAGTAAGAAAGCAGTTGTACTGAGAAACTTCAGATTTTCTCACTCAGCGGACTAATTACCTCAATGGGATGTGCTCTTCAGACAGTTCAAAGTTCTTCATGTAATGCGAACACTCCATATCGTCATGAACATATCCCTTACCAGTTGAT